ATTGACACTAAAATGGTAACAGGGTTACGTAGCCCTATGAACGTGGGACAGAAAAAAGCATTGGATGATAGGTCTATTCTATACCTAGTCGGTGGTACAACTATGTATCAAAACATATTTTCATAATTTTATGTCTAACATAAGTAGACATTTATGTGTTTGTCTTTTGGTAGACCACCTCGTATATTTATGTATAACACAAACAACAAAGATGCCTACTGCTACGCACTCTATCGCCTAAATATATAGAATATATTGAAGATAATACCACAGCGTAGTTAAATTTAGGAACCGGAAATTATTGCAAAGATACAAATGATAAAACGTTGCATGTAAACTTGTAACAAATATATTCTTTAAATAGAGACTAGTGTGTCTTAGCGTGACTTTAATTCGTAAACGATTTTGAGAATTTTTCGGCCAAATAAATTTGATTGATATTTCGTGAAGTGCTAACAACAAGGTTAAACATGTTGCGAATTGCTTGTAAAAAATCTCTGAATTCAGTTGAGGTTCTGAGAAAAACTTTAAATATAAGTACTAAGCAAAAAAGGCATTTAAATTTACTTGAATACCAAAGTAAAGAACTTCTTAGAGATTGTGGAATTTCTGTACAAAATTTTGCTATTGTTGATGATTTAAATAAAGCAAATTCTGCATTAGAAAAATTAAGTTAGTATTTACTGTTACTTATTGTACATTTAGTTTATCTAATAATTTATGCAATCAATTTCCCTTTCACACACAATGTTAATATTAGTTTCAATATTCCAGTTTGATTTTTCTTTGTATGGATAAGTTAGCAAGGTGATTATTTTATCCAGAAAATAGTATTGCTTCTATGAGGTGTATATGATTTTTAAATTAATGGTCTCATTAACAACCAATATTACACATCCTGTTAAAATTAAAACATACTACAGTGTCTTATGTTTGATCGTTGTAAAAACTGTTAATATAGGATTAAACTATATTAGGCTATAGTAATTGATAGTAACTTATACAAAGTGCTTTATATAAAAGTTTCATTATATTAACCATTAAAAACTTAAGAAGATTTGTAAGATCTACTGAGATTTATAATCGATATTATCATAAGATATGTAGGATATTGTAATAAATTCTTACAGTAGTCTATAAAGTATTCTAGTGATTACTTTTTTTGTATTATATTCTTACACACACACAATAATTGTATAATATGGCTTCAATGATGAATATTTATCCTCTTTTTATAGCAATCTTTTTTTAAACAGGCTGTCATGTTTGTAGAATATAAAATTTAATATACCTTTTTTATATAATTTAATATTTTAGTTTATTTTTACATAACAAACGATCCCAATAATATTATACTATGTAAAAAATATTTATTTGCAACACAAGTTTCTATCTCAATGCACACATTTTTCATGCGATTGAGAATTTTTTAACAATTTATGGAAAACACTTGGATAGATATAATCTTTAGCACAATAAAAGATATTCATTGTATGGAGGGTATACAATAATAACAATAGATGTAGAGAAGTAGTTATGAATTCATAATGACTTAGTGCAAAAGCAACTGAAATATTGTATGATGCACTGTGTTTATTAATTATAATGTCACAGTATCACAATGTATAAACAAACACCTAGTAGTGTTAAAAACAACTTGCCACTGTTTTGTGTTGGGCTGTTCCATATATGCTTCTATCATTCTAGTTGTACATTAATTGAAAACTTTATTTTGATTATTAGGTGCTGATGAATTTGTTATAAAAGCTCAAGTATTAGCTGGCGGTCGTGGGAAAGGATGGTTTGATAATGGTTTCAAAGGAGGTGTGCATGTTACAAAAGAGTACGTATCAATAAATAGTATATAATGCAATATGGGAAATACGTATGTGTTACTTATTGTACTTCTGTTAATAGCCGTACAGCAGTTGTAGAAGTTGTGAAAAATATGTTAGGTCATCGTCTAATTACAAAACAGACCTCAGAAGATGGAATATTGGTACACAAGATTATGATCGCTGAGTCTGTAAATATTAAACAAGAAACATATGTTTGTATTCTTATGGATAGACAGTACAATGGTCCGGTATTAATTGCTTCACCGGCAGGTGGTATAGATATTGAAACAGTTGCTAAAACGAATCCAGAGTTGATAAAAACAGTATCACTCGATATATATCATGGGATTGATGATGATATAGCTAAAGACGTTAGCACTTTCCTGGGCTTTACACATCCAGATGTGCAGGAGAAGGCAATATTTGAATTAAAAAATTTATGGAAACTCTTTGTAGATATTGATGCTTTGCAAGTAGAAATTAACCCCTTGGTTGAGACCACAGATAAGCAAGTGGTAGCAGTTGATGCAAAAATTGCATTTGATGATAATGCTCAATTTCGACAACAGGATTTGTTTGCTTTAGAGGATAGTGATGAAAAGGATCCAAGAGAAGCAGATGCATCACGGTTTAACCTAAATTATATTAGTATGGATGGCAATATAGGATGTTTAGGTATCATGTATTACGTAAATAAATTGTTAATTATTTTACTGTATTTTAATTAGGAGAAATTTAGGCAGAGTACTACAAAATTCTACTAACAGTAATCATAACATGTTTATAAAAAAAGACAAAAGAGTTACATTTAATTTTAACTTATTCAGAATTTAACATTATACATTATGTTTAGTTAATGGAGCTGGGTTAGCAATGGCAACTATGGATATAATTAAACTAAATGGTGGATCTCCAGCAAACTTTTTGGATGTAGGTGGAAGTGTTAAAGAAGATCAGGTTTATCAAGCATTTAGGATACTCAGTGAAGGTCTGTGCAATGACAAGTATTAATGTAGCTAATTATTAATAAGGTTTGCTAATTAATTATAAGAAAGCATATCATAAAGGTTATTATATTATGACTACTTTTAGCAACAATTACATAAATATATTTAGCTTATGTTGTATATGTTATTACAGTTCCTGTTATTGCACAATTAGTAATCTAAAAAACAAGTATTTTTTTCATAAGTTTAAGAATTGTTTTCGAAATAATTTTATTTGTCTCTCTGATACATGTAGATCCAAAAGTCAAAGTAATTCTTGTGAATGTATTTGGAGGTATTGTAAATTGTGCTACAATAGCCAAAGGAATTGCTGCAGCATTTCGTAATTTGCAACTTAAAATTCCTCTTGTTGTCAGATTAGAAGGTAATTATTTTTACATTCATGTATAATATTCCATTCATATATAAGACAACCATACTCTTCAACTTTCATTACAATTTCTTATTTATTTTGATATGATTTTTAAAAGATGATTCTTTTTAAACCAGGCACAAATGTAAAAGAAGCAAAGAAATTTCTTGCAGAAAGTGGTTTACCAATTATTACAGCAAATGATTTGGATGAAGCAGCTAAAAAGGCAGTCAGTTCTGTAAAATTATAAACTTCCTAATCTCACATATTACTATCTTTTTTTAAGCCTGGAAATATACTAAAAATACAACGAAACAGTTAAAAATAAAGGACTTAAGAAATTTTTAAATATATTAAAAGTATTAGACAAATTTTTTATTCTTTTTTCGTACATAATTTTGTTCTTCAAATTTATTATTTTAATATATTTTGTTCAATTTTTCAATTCAAAAGATTTAATAAAGTTACCATTTCAAATTGATTATTGTTGATTTGATTAAAGGTTATTAATATTGATAAGAATTACTTGCATTTTTTTATCCATTTACTATGTAAATTATAAAGATTTTTACAACCTGAAGCTGTACAATTTTATACATCTTAAATAAATTTAATTGTATAATACATATAAATTTTTATATTTTTTTAAAAAACGTATTTTTATGGTCATTCCACATTCAGATTTTAAGAAGAAAGAAAAAGAAACTAGAAAACACCTTTCTTATTTCTGAGCATACTTTTTTTACATACGGTTTTTGAGCGTACGTAACAATGTGGGGTTGCAGGCGACCCCAAAATAAACTCTAAATGTTATAATTATTAGTGAACATTCTTAAAAAATCCTTTTTTGGCATCCGATTGACTTTCAAAATCGATCGGTGTTCAAGTCGAATATGGTACCCTTGGGTACCCTCTACCTCTCTCCCGTTCGTAGCAAGTGGTAGCAAGTGGTAGCAACTGGTAGCAACTGGTAGCAAGTGGCAGCTGGCAGCTGGCAGCAAGTGGTAACAAGTAGTAGCAAGCACAGTCGTATGCTTATACACGGATCTGGAAACTCCCGTGGTGGGGGTGATCCATAATGATGCCGATGTACTGTGTAGTAGCTTGATAAGTGGGGTCATAGAACCCCCGAAATATGCGTAAGAGACTCCGTGTGTGAGAAAGTAGGGTCATAGAACCCCCGGAGTATGCGTAAGAGACCCCGTGTGTGTGATAAAATAACTAATAGCATCGAAAGGATATCTCAAAGATATTATTTTAGGAATCGTGAACGACAACATTCAGATATCCTTAGGTTATCGTTTTGTTATCTAATTGTGAAAGGAATTGGAAATGGGAATTGTAATTTTGCAAAAACAATTTTAAATAAATATGCTAAAAAACTACTAAAATTACTAGTGATCCTTGAGCATTAAAAGCATATTCATTTTAAATTGTTTATGCAAATTTAAAAATGTAAAATGATTGTACTGACTGATAAGAAAAATGAGATTTATTTAATTTTTAAATGGAAGATATATATTTTTAATTATGTTCGTCTACTTTTCTTTTTTTGTTAGTTTTTTTCAGTTCGGTACATCCATATTTACATTGTACCACATCTGTAATAGGAAAAACTAAAATGAGAGTAATTAATTTGTAAATTATTAATACTATTTGAAATTAGAGAAATATCAAATTTATAATATGTATTCCTAAATACGTCGTTTCTGTTGTCTATTTGATAATTCAGAAAACATTTTGTGTCTGTTAAACATACCTTACAACTACAATGAAAAAATAAAATGATTTTAAAACTACAGGCTACACAATCAAAAATATGTATTGTAAAGATTCAACATATCTAGCAAGAAATATGACACTCGGAAAAATGTTATGTTAGTGATGCATAGAATCCTGTATGCATTTGGTTCACGTATATAGATATACGCGTCATCGTTCCAATTTTTAGCATTTACCGTATAAGCTTCTTTTAATTCTAGGCTGTGAGATATCCCGATGTTTCTAGAGACATGACAGCCATGTCGCTACTTCCGATTACTACGTGACTGTGATCAGAAACAACTATGTATGTAACTTCGTTTTATCTTTCTGCACTAATCGTTCACTATTTCATGCATAAGGTAGTTTTTAAATTAACACAATGAATTTTAGAAGCGGTGTTTATTAAGTAATATGCGAATTTGCGTCGTTAATTATTTATTATAGTAACGCAATCGACAGAATGTTCCAGAAAAGGAATGAACATCCGGCGGACGGCTTCTAGAATCTTCAAAGCTCGATAAAAGCGACTGCAGGGCGGCAGTATTCAATAGTCTTAAAAGTGACTGCGCGAGAAGTTGATTGCGAGGACCAGTGCGGAAAGTTACATTTATTTAGTGAATACACGTAAGAATAAACATTGAAATTAGTGCAGTGCAGCTGTTCTATCGTGTTTTTGTGTTTCACTACTAATTTATATCTTATTAAATAACGAAAATGCCAGAAGACATAACGATGACTGAAGCCGACGAAGTTGAGACCTTCGCCTTCCAGGCTGAAATTGCACAGTTAATGAGCTTGATAATCAACACTTTCTACTCGAACAAAGAAATCTTTCTTCGTGAAATAATCTCAAACTCATCTGATGTAAGTGACATTTTCCTTACATATATTTACTTGAAGAATTTTAACCAAATTTCAACTTACACCGATTCGATTCTACTCCAGAAAAAACTGAAATTAACGTATTCTTGACTTTTTGTTGCAGGCTTTAGATAAAATCCGCTATGAGTCCCTTACTGATCCATCCAAAATAGACACATGCAAAGAACTGTTCATTAAGATCATTCCTAATAAGAATGACCGCACTTTAACCGTTCTTGACTCGTAAGTACCATGTTTCTTTATATACTATTTTTGTAAATAAAATTGTTTTTGATCGATGTTTCAAATTTAAATGATAATATCTAATAATGTTACTTTGAGAAATTTGAAAATTTAGTTTCACATTTATATTCGAAAAATTCTTTCTTCATAATGTCTTATGAAAGAGCAAATAAGTACTTAAATTTTATTTATTACAGTGGCATTGGTATGACCAAGGCTGATCTTGTAAACAATTTGGGTACCATTGCCAAGTCAGGCACAAAGGCATTCATGGAAGCTCTTCAAGCTGGTGCAGACATTTCTATGATTGGTCAGTTTGGTGTGGGTTTCTACTCTGCTTATTTAGTTGCCGACAAAGTTACCGTTGTCTCTAAGCACAATGACGATGAACAATACTTGTGGGAGTCTTCTGCTGGTGGTTCATTCACAGTCCGTCCAGACAATGGCGAACCAATTGGAAGGGGTACAAAGATAATTTTACACATCAAGGAAGATCAGACAGAATACTTAGAAGAATCAAAAATTAAAGAAATTGTTAAAAAACACTCACAATTCATTAGCTACCCGATTATACTTGTTGTTGAAAAAGAGAGAGACAAGGAATTGAGTGACGATGAAGAAGAAGAACCAGTGAAAGAAGAAGAAGAGGATCAAGATGAAAAGCCTAAGATTGAAGATGTAGAAGAAGGTGAGGATGAGGAGAAATCAAAGGATGAGAAAAAGAAAAAAAAGACAATTAAGGAAAAGTATACTGAAGATGAAGAACTCAACAAGACAAAACCAATTTGGACGAGAAACCCAGATAATGTTACTCAAGAAGAATACGGTGAATTTTATAAGAGTTTGACCAATGACTGGGAGGACCATTTGGCTGTGAAACACTTTTCTGTAGAAGGTCAGTTGGAGTTCCGCGCGTTGCTTTTTATTCCACGACGTGCTCCCTTCGACCTTTTTGAAAACAAGAAGAGGAAGAACAACATCAAGTTATATGTACGTAGGATCTTCATTATGGAGAACTGTGAAGACCTTATTCCTGAATATCTTAACTTTATCAAAGGTGTTGTGGACAGTGAAGATCTTCCATTAAACATTTCTCGTGAAATGCTGCAACAGAATAAAATTCTTAAAGTTATCAGGAAGAATCTTGTCAAAAAATGTTTAGAACTTTTCGAGGAATTGTCAGAAGATAAGGAAAACTATAAGAAATGTTATGAACAATTTAGCAAGAATTTGAAATTAGGTATTCATGAAGATAGTCAGAATAGGAAAAAACTCGCAGAGTTGCTAAGGTATTATACATCTGCCTCTGGTGATGAAATGTGTTCATTGAAGGAATATGTTGGCAGAATGAAGGAGAATCAAAAACACATCTACTACATAACTGGTGAAAGCAGAGAGCAAGTAGCTAATAGTGCATTCGTCGAAAGGGTTAGAAAACGTGGCTTTGAAGTAGTGTACATGACAGAGCCTATTGATGAATATGCTGTACAGCAACTCAAAGAATTTGATGGAAAACAGCTGGTATCTGTAACAAAAGAAGGTTTGGAGCTTCCAGAAGATGAGGAAGAGAAGAAGAAACGCGAAGAAGATAAGGCTAAGTTTGAGAATCTTTGCAAAGTTATGAAAGAGATTCTGGATAAGAAGGTGGAGAAAGTTGTTGTATCTAATAGGTTAGTTGATTCTCCATGCTGTATTGTTACATCACAATATGGATGGTCAGCAAACATGGAAAGGATAATGAAGGCACAAGCTCTCAGAGACACATCGACAATGGGATACATGACTGCCAAGAAACACTTGGAAATCAACCCAGACCACCCCATCATGGAAAATTTGAGACAGAAGGCTGAAGCAGACAAGCATGACAAGTCTGTGAAAGATCTTGTAATGCTTCTCTTCGAAACAGCACTGTTGTCCTCTGGCTTTGCTTTAGAAGAACCACAAGTACATGCATCCAGAATATATAGAATGATCAAGCTGGGTCTTGGCTTTGACGAAGACGAGACAGTAAATGTAGAAGAAGAAAAGATGGACACAGAAGTTCCTCCACTAGAAGGTAATTCAGAAGAAGCATCCAGGATGGAAGAAGTAGATTAGGACCATATCAAATAAAATTACTGAACTAAATCCAAAGACTTATAGAATGTAGAAAGAAGACTGTTACAAATTACTTAGCATTAATAATTTTTTTTATTTGTTCTCATTTGACAGAATTAAGTGCCATGCTTACTTTGCATTGCAAAATCTGTATTTATTTAATAAATATAATGTATAAATAGGAAGAGTTTTATGCATTCTATAATACTGCTCTTTAGTTAAAGTCTGCTACTTAATTCTGTCTTAAAATTCATTTTTTTTTAATAACATTTTTTATGTGACTTCGTTGTGATTTCTGTTGTACTCGTACATTATTTTAATTTTATTTCACACTTTCATCATTCCATTACGAAACTGTCATGTAGTTTGATAATTAAGATCATTACGATTTCATGCGAAATAAATTATCCTTAAATATTTAAAGAAGTGTACTTCCTTTGACCCTCTTGTGTTTAAATAGAAAAACTTCTCACAAAGTAATTTTACGTAAAATGTAAAAAACGAATTTTTAATAATACAAAGCCATAATTTATTTTTAAGAATACATTTTTGAAAAAGGAATTCTATTTCCGTTAGTTGTCCAGATTATCCATTCAGTTGGTCTGACGAATAAACACCATAGATATATTAAACTAGACCCAACAAGTAACAAATATATATTTATATTATGTGTATGTGTATATGCAGCAAAACTTCGCCAGTAGGACACAAGATTTGTTGCTCTGTAATCTTTCATAGCTTTGTGATTTATGTGACTTATGATTAAGTATATCAATATTTTTTTAATTTATACATATATATATATTTTATTCAGTCAAGGCGAAACGTAAATGCACAGTTTAAAAAAAATGTATTGGTTAGGTGAAAACTAAAATGATACCGGTAAATTGTTTCTTGATTTTATCACATACTTAAACTGTGCTGTTAGTGTTTTTCAGTATGAAAAATTTCGATTTCAGTATGACATAATCAATGTAATACTGTAACCAAAATAATACTGGTGTAAAGTCTCTGGAAATATTTGACACGTGTTGTTTTAAGATGAAAATATTAATATTTTTCCTACCGATCAAGATATCGGTGCGGGTTGACCGATAGAGCGCGACACTGCTGGTTGTCGAAGTATTGCGTGTTGCCACATCACCACCAAATCAAACGTACTTGGACGATGTTTCTGTGTAGATTGCGCTCGTGCCGACTCTTCCACAATACGTGGAAAGCGTGAGTTTCTCCACTCCGGTCCAACATGTCAAATTTTTCTTGAATTTCTGACGAATATTTACGAAGAAGGTAAAGATTTAAGCGCAGACAAATTCTGTTCATCTAATAGTTCACCCAGGAAAGTATTGACTGGGAAATTATAGATTTTTTCTTGGTGCTTAACGTAGTAAACGAACGACACGATGAGCGCACCCCAGGGGCAAGTGAAACCAAGAAACGGAGTAGTAAAACAGGTAAGGTGCCTTGAATTTTGCAGGAATCCGTTTCTCAGCGAATTTATCAGAAGAATATAAATACAACTTATGTGATTGCTGCTATATATAACCTAATATTTTGACGTCCATGTGAACGTATTTAACACAGTTGGAGCGAAAGATCTGTACCGAAAACATATGGTCCTTGCATTCAAGTATTTTCGTTCTATACGTGATCTTTCTTAATAGTAACAAACTAATTAGCTTGTAGATATCTACGACTTTCGTAAGAATATATTTTACATCATATCAACGACTATATAATTACTTAGCATATTCTTTGGTTTATGTTGTTGCATTTTTAAACGTCCTAAATAAAGTTCACCTTTATTCTTACAATCTTCTATGAAAAGTATAATATTGTACAGTGCCATGCTAATATCATAAATAATAATATATTATGGTTTACAAATAAATTTGTTTACCTTGTTTTTCAATGTAGAATTTTATATTTTAAGGTTACTTCTGGAGATACCATTGTTATCCGTGGTCAGCCTATGGGTGGCCCGCCTCCTGAAATGACAATTACCCTTTGTAATGTTACTGCTCCAAAACTGGAGAGATGGAAAGGAAATGACAGGTATATACAATATTATTACATAGTTACTAATAAATAAATTATTTCAAAATTTCTTTCAAACTCATTTATGATTTCAAAAATATTAAAAATATGAATTTTGCAGCACTGACGAAAGTAGGGATGAACCATATGCCTGGGAAGCAAGAGAATATTTACGAAAAAAGCTTATTGGTCAAGATGTAGCTTTTGTTACAGAGAAATCAATTAATACAAATCGAACTTATGGTACTGTGTGGCTAGGAAAAGGTACATTAAGTAAATTTATTTATACATGATTTTCGGCCACACATGGGAGAAAATACAAGGTGTGATACTGCATGACAAAATAAGATGAAGTTCAAGCATAACAAAGTTGCTTTTGGGTCTTCGTTTTTAGTTATAAATATGTAAAAATTCGTATAGTCAAAAAACATATAAATATTGGAAGCTTACCGCGTCAAAGCAGAAGCAAATTTCACAATGCTTTGTAGCAGAATACGGTTTTGCAATACTATAAAAAGTCACATTAAGGCACATTAAAATTCGACTTATATGATTCTCGTGTGAAGGGGTAAATTCCTCCTTCATAAACAAAACTGTCTACAAGAATGAGTCATATGAGAAATGTTATCCACAAAACAGTTCACATACTCCTTATGTCTTGAGAAAACCATGCACACAAAAAACGACTGTCCAAGGGCAATTTTGTTATTCTTAATTTTCGTCTTATTTTGTCATGTATAAGATTTCAAAGTTTCTTCCATTCGTTTCTGAACACCTTGTACACTCTACATTATAATTTATTAAGGATTAATCCGATAAAATTTGTTGTACTTACAGATAGAAATGGAGAAAATATCATTGAAACATTAGTTTCTGAGGGTTTGGTAACTGTAAAAAAAGACACTCGAAATCCTAGCCCAGAACAGACACGACTGATCGAGCTGGAAAACGGAGCTAAAACGGCTAAGAAAGGAAAATGGTCAGAGTCTCCAAGTTCTGAGCATGTGCGCAATGTGAAATGGACAATAGATGATCCTCGAAAATTAGTTGAGAAATTTGGAAAGAAGCCGGTGAAGGCTATCATCGAATTTGTTTTTGACGGTTCAACAGTGAAAGCACTTTTGCTACCTGATTACTATAACATAGTATTAATGATATCAGGTGTTCGATGTCCTGGATGGCCGAACGGAAGACGCGAAAATTCAACAGGTGATCCGTATGCGGATGAAGCAAGATATTTCGTAGAATCGCGTCTTCTACACAGAGATGTTGAAGTTGTACTTGAATCGGTTAATAATAACAATTTCATTGGAAGTATTCTTCACCCAAAAGGTTGGTATTCGTTGTTAAACCGATTTAAGTAAGTGAAATATGATTTGTAATTTAGTTTCTTATAATTAGTCAAATAATTACAAACTTTCTTTCATTCGATAGGAAATATTGCAGAAATTTTATTGAATGAAGGGTTTGCCAAGTGTCAAGATTGGTCGATTGGTAATAGTAGAGCTGGTGCAGAAAAGCTTTATCTTGCAGAAAAAGCTGCGAAAGAAGCACGTTTGCGTTTGTGGAAAGATTACAAACCGTCAGGCCCACAAATAGAGTTCACTGGCACTGTTGTTGAGATTGTAAATGCAGACGCGCTTATAATCAGGACACAAAATGGAGAAAACAAGAAAGTCTTTTTGAGCAGTATTCGACCACCGTCCAGAGAAAAAAAAACAAATGAAGAACCCAATAACGCGGGAAGAAAAGATTTTAAGCCTCTCTATGATATCCCATGGATGTTAGAGGCTCGTGAATTTCTTCGTGAAAAATTCATCAGAAAAAACGTAAAAGTTGTAGTGGATTATACTCAACCAGCCAGAGATAATTTCCCGGAAAAGTTATGTTGCACTGTTACTTGTGGTAAAACGTATGTGATTCAACACTTTTTTGAAATTAATATTACTTATTACAATGATTGTTATTAATTTTTATAATTCTTCATTTAGAAATATCGCGGAAGCATTGGTTGCACGAGGTTTGGTGAGAGTGATTAAATACAGACAAAATGACGATCAAAGGTCATCCCATTACAATTTGTTACAAATTGCTGAAAGTAGAGCGGAAAAATCGCAACATGGTTTACATGCAAAGAAAGATATTCCTGTACACAGATTAGTGGATGTTTCTAACGATCCCTCCAAAGTGAAGTCATACTTGACATCCTTTAAACGGGCACAAGGCATTAAAGCTATGGTTGAATTCGTCACCAGCGGTTCCCGTTTGAAACTTTTCTTACCGAAAGAAGACCAGCTTATTACGTTTGTACTAGCTGGTATAAGAACCCCTAGATGCCAAAGATCGCTTCCAGGTGGTGGCATAATTAAAGCTGACGAATATGGGGAAAAAGCATTAGCCTTTACCAGGGAACACTGCTTTCAAAGGGATGTGGAAATTAAAGTTGAAAGTACAGAAACAAAGGGAAGCGGTTTTATTGGATGGTTGACTGTGAACGACATAAATATGTCGGTTTCTCTTGTTGAAGAAGGTCTCGCAGAAGTAGTTACTTTCCCGGACTTTGGAGAATTAACTAGGACGCTTAAAGCAGCCGAAGAACGTGCCAAAACGAAGAAACTAAATGTAAGCAGTTTAAAAAATATACAATTCAAGAAATACTTTGTCGAATTTATGTATGCTACATTAAGTACTTTATATGTTATAGATATGGAAGAATTATGTTGAAGTACAAGTCGAAAATGAAAAGAACGAAAATGATAAAGAAGTTGTGGAAAGAAAGATCGACTACCAAGAGGTAGTGATTTCTGAAGTTACTAACGATCTTCACTTTTACGTACAAAGGGTTGATCAACGTAGTATGTTAGAAACTTTCCTTTCGCAATTGCGTCAAGAGCTGTCGTCTAATCCTCCACTTGCGGGTGCTTACAAACCTACCAGGGGTGACTTAGCAGTTGCCAAATTTAGTGGCGATGATCAGTGGTACCGAGTTAAGATTGAAAAAATCTCTGGTACGAATGCTAGCGTATTTTATGTTGATTACGGTAACAGAGAAACGATTAATGCTTCAAGAATTGCCGACTTACCGTCGCGATTCGCTACTGATAAACCTTATGCTCATGAGCATATTCTTGCTTGTGTTTCACTTCCATTAAACAATATACATAATATACCTATATGTTCCGAAATATATGCAGACTGACGATGAAAAAGCAGCAGTTGAAGCCTTTAAGGAAGATGTAATGGACAAAATTTTATTAATGAATACGGAATTTAAGCTTAATAATGTTACCGCGGTAACATTAGTTGAGTCTACTAGTAAGGAAGATATTGCGAAGGGACTAATTTCTGATGGGTTATTACTCGTACAGAACCAACGTGACAGGAGACTTACTAAATTGGTTAGTTCATCTTTTAAATAATCAATGTTATATTAATCGCTTCTTTACTTATTACTTTATTTTAGATTGAAGAATATAAGAAAGCGGAAGAAGATGCAAAACACAGCCGGCGTAATATTTGGAGATATGGCGATATACGCGAAGACGATGAGAAACAATTTGGATCGTAAAAATGCTCAAAGATTGGTTGGAAAGTGATTGATACAGGGAAAAAGAAATCATGTTATGAACTGCATAATAAATATCTAAAAATCTATCACATAGATTTACAGAAACTAATAAATGTCCATATGAGAGTTACATGTTGCATTAATTACGATGCAATTATATTTCATTACATAAAAGTATGAATTGTACATAACAATTTCATTAATCTTGTAACTTTTGAACGGAACCGTGGCATAATATATTGCATAATATATTCTCATCAATCATTATTTTTTATTTCAATGTAAAGCTTTGTTATTAATGAATTTTAGGAACACCGTACATGAACAAACGAAACATTGCGTGATCTATGTGCAATTTATTTTTAATCGTTCACATTTTAATCGCGAAAAAGAGATCATTTTTGTACGTGTTTTGTGACGCATTGAAAATCACTATGTATGAATTATACAAATGATTATAAAAGTTCATAATTGTACATTTTGTCAAACATACTCATTTAACTTAAGTACGTAAGAGTTCATATCAAGTAAAAAGATATATTTTGAATAAAAGTGGCATCAGTAAAATATTGCTTAAATTGCCAAGATATTTAAACGGACTTCACGTGTGTAATTATGTGTTCGTACAATTAATTATCCAATTATTTTCGTGATTTATATGCAGTTATTAAACTTCTAAGTTACCGATGCCGCTTTGTATACATAAAAAGTAGTGCTTTACTGTGAAAACATGTTTCTTAACTATTAATCAAAACTACATTTTCCATTTTCATCATATTGTTACGTACCGTGAACACAGAAAACTAAGACAATTATATATGTACAAGTAACTGATTCATCCTCCCATTATTATGTTATAATAATGTGATGTCAAACTATACTTATTATTTTCCTTACATAAAAAATATCTAAGATGAAAGGTAGTTATTGTAACTTTAAAAGAGAAAGCAATTGACATCTAACTAAATTAATGTAATTTATATACATGTATGTACAATACAAGAAATGAACATGTAGATTATTTATATCTACAACTTTGCACAGAATTTTCAAGATATAAACTTAAGAATGAAAGGAACAATGAATGTTTATAATCAAAGGAAGTAAAAGTTAAACAGTGGAAATAATTAGATGGGTAGCATATCAATAACCGTTTAATCTATGAAATTTTATGTACTAATCGAGAATTCATGAATTTACTGGTGCAAAGGATTTATTATTTGAATATTTTAATAATTGGGATGAATACATAAGTAAATCACTATATTATAGAAACAAATAAAAAAGGGAATGGCACTTTTGAATTAATTAGTACCGTCATTTTATAAAGTTCACAAAAATTTGTCTTGCTTTACTTTAGCTATTATGCTAGAATTTCCCTATTGCGACATGAAATCGTTTGATGAATTATATTAGACTTTACTAAGATAATTGTATTCATATACAGTTATGTCAAATAAGTATGAGAATAATCTTTCTGCTTATCCATAAAATGGATGTATAAATTTTGAAAAACCATTTAGTGTTATAATATTATTAGAAAGAAAATTAAAAAACTTTAAAGTATACAGGTCTCTGCATTTATATAACTTAGAAATTTGACCTGTTTGTAATTTCCTTATAATGACACGTATACGTGTCGTGTTATATGGAGAATAAACTGTAAAATGTTTTTATTTATATTATTATTGTTTCACAAAAATATATTTTACACAGAGTATCATTTCATTTGTTATAATGCCTATTTGTGATCTAATACAATATAAAGTTGACTATATGAACTTAGTGTTACTCAATTATTGAAGAATATACAAATAAATTGAGTGGCAAACTTATTTTCTGTACTAACTTTTTATGTAAGATATATTATCGTTAAATACTTATGTGTTGTATTACAGTAAAAAAATATAAAAATATAGGGAAGATAATTACATAAGTACAAATAATTTACATGCTGAACTGCATACATTGTCTGTAGTCATATCTACACCAAAATTCGTTTTATGAGAAACTTTATTAACTAAATTACAAAGAATGCAAATAATCAACTTTCAGGAGAATATTTATAATTGCAAAAAGGAACAGTAACCAAAAAGGTAACAGCAGGAAGGTAGAAGCAGATAACACTTAATAATACCAAAATCAGTTTCAGAAATATTAACATAAAAAAATGTCAGTATACAAGTAAAAGTATAACTTGAATTAAAAATACTTTAAGACAAATCAGTGATCATAATGGTATTGTGTGTTTGCCTACTGTATTATCCCAAGAACAAGAAAATAATTGGTCTTTATACCATGCCAGTCCTCGTATAAAATCAGTATGACTTTCATTCTTGTATATGGATGAGAAATTATCTTTATTAAGTACTTCCACAATAATATCATCACAGCAACATGCTAATTCTTTCGATCTGAAAATACAATAGCACATGATATCATTTTACCTTACATAGTTCATAAATTTTTAAAAATTGATTATTATAAATTGATTATTTATGTTACCTTTCTGGGTTTGGATTAAATAAGAGCTTGTGTACTGATCTATGAAACATATTTGCGTCCACTAATACTAAACCACCTGATTTTCTAACATCAACTAATACAATATCTCCATTGTCAGCACCTATTGCTATAATATGATCTGCTATAGAATTCCAACTTACTGCTGTCAAACCAATATCCCTTTTCAAAATACCTTAAAAACAAAATAATGATATATAGTATTACAGGTAATTTTAAGTTTATATTATGGATGCTTACTCTGTGCTGGTTTTGACTGTCTTATATCCCACATCAATGCTTCACAATCGAATGAAGTTGACACAAATACTGAACTGTTTCTAGGTTGTACATTAACACAAGTAACTATGTCTGTGTGGGCAAAGCCAAATGAATGTGTTGCAATTAATTCTTCTATGTCCCACACCTTTATACTATAATATAATTGTACTTCTGTATTGATGTTTTCAGACATATCCTAGATGAAAGATTTAAGATAACTTACCAATAATCCATGCCACCGGTAACTAAATGGTCATTATCATGAAATACAGAAAGTGTTAAGAGACTACTGTCATGCAGACAAGCATACCCTAAAGACTGTAATTCTTGTAAATTTGTGTCAGCTACGTCAACTAAACCTAGTACTTGCAAGACCCCACTATCTTCGCAAATTACAAATTTGTCATGTTCCAAATGAGCACCATCGCACACACCACTTTCAGTCTTTGTGGCAACCACAGCTTTATTTTTGTCAAAGTCTGAAATATCATTGAAATACCAAACAGTACCGCACCAATAACGATCTGTCATGTTACTACCTCCAAGAATTGCACTTTTTTCTGTAAATAAAACATCATTCTAACAGATCCATGTTTAAAAGAAAATATATAAAAAGGTATCTCTTCACTCTCATTACGTGTTACATATTTTACTATGAAAGTACGAAGTATTTAACCTATACAATGATTACCATTATAAATTGAAATAAATTGCAAATTCTTGTCAGGAACAGGCGGCCTGTCTGCCGCAGTCATGTCCCTATAAACAGCTGCATTTAAATTAGGATCCATTAAGGGCTCCATAATTCTTTTTAAGATGTATTTGTATCGAATCACGTCACTTTGATATGAATTCAGTGCCTGGTGCCGACTGACCATGTGCTGAACCTGCTTCGGCTTCGACTATGTATATAACATCAAGTACCCGCGTCAAACACAAATAAATCAACCACTCCACATGCGTATTCGCGGCAAATTTAATGGCACGATACGAGATTTATTAATCACACACACCACAAATACCGTGTGAATCGCAGATCTGTAATATTGAATAAAATATCCAGTCATACTTCGAAAAATCAACAGAAATGCCGAAAACAAATTCAATTATAGATTTTTGCAAACAATTTAATTCAAACAAGAACATTTGTACCGAGTAGTTTAAATTGTTCGGCAGTGTGGATGACGCATTCTATAAATACATAATCTACTGGGATGTTATTATTTATAAAATTTATTGTGTCACGTCACGATTCTCATCAATGTCCGATGAATATCACGTATGTACATAAACAGAATCGGTCACGTCAATCATTGCGAAAAAAATTTCTGCTAGTCGGTGGTCTTTTGGAATTCCATTGTTCATACCGCGCGTCTTTTACCGGCGCTCCAAGAGTGTCGGGATGTGCAAAAGTAGCGAACATGATTACCGCGGTAACGTCTGTCCGTGACGTAACGGCTGTACTCCTGATAATTTCCGTCGTGACGCATGCGTATTCGATTCGGAGCAAAAATCAGAATTAGTCCAACGGAATCCCGGAAAGTAGCGAGTGTGAGACACAGCGGTGCCGTTGTGCAAAATCATAACGAGCGCTGATTAACCTCTCAAGACGTGGTTCCGTATTGTTTTATTCACGCACTCAAGGGTGTTGCGGCTAATCGTCCGTAGGATTCGGTCGACTGCCAGGCAGGATGGTGAAGGCACAGCAACTTTTAATTATCAAACCGGAACACGAACTACGGTTCATGGGTACGCTTAAACGACGAATTATTCTTTCATGCGTATTTTCTTTGTACGTTTTCTTTCCCCTTCGACTTTCGTTTCCTTCAAAGTTTCCTTATTCTATGACAAGATCAGGTGTAATGTTCGTTATCACGAGCTGCACACGGTGCGCTACGTTGTCAAGATGACGTAAGGTTTACTTCGCTGGCCAATTTTATTGCATTCTAATTTATGACTAAATAGGATTACGTACGACGACCTAGTGGATAACATCGGCCTTCTTGGTCGTACCTAACCCCATTCGTTGTACGTCATTCGCTGTCAAAGCTAAGTACAGTCACGATTGAATTCTTAGTCTCCCCTCTCATGTCCCATCTTCCATGAGATATACAGTCAGCATATTCATCGAGTTGTATTGCATACGCTTATTTTTCATGCACATATGTATATATAAGTATGTGTATGATATGTGTATATATATATATATGTATATATCCATCTTGCCTCTATGTTTTGTAGATGTTTTAATGAACTCTTTCATTTTTTACAATTTCTTTTAACCCTTTCATTATCGCCGTTTCAGCCGAAAAATAATCTTACAGTACGATTGCACGAGACGTGCACCGTACGCAGTTACGCTGGTACACTCTGCATTCCTAATATGATATGTTTATTGTCTGGTCGTTATGGTAATAAAACAGAAAAACAGTTGATATTATGGGATACAAGCATACTTGATTAGAAGTGTTGGTAGAATTTCCATTGAATACCTGTTATCTTAAAAAATGGAAGCGCTATGTGTCGAGCTACTATAATCACCCGTGATATACAAAGATCGCTTCACGGCAAGCGACTATAGTCGCTCGTCGTAGCGAAATGGTTAATTACGTCGTTATCGAGTCATATTCATTCGTCCCTTGTATGGTTAAATAAATTCGTTAAAAACCCAAATGCTTGAAATTTGACAAGTATCTTTTAGCAAATGACGTTCACGTAGGATTTTGCTATTTTGTTATTGACGAGATAACAATTTTTCAAATGAATTCTGTAGTAAACAATGTGTTTTCATATCATATTTTGACCTATTTGGTTTGTATTTTATAAGAAAATTATATCCTACTGATTACTGTGTATCTATGTATTCTGTTTTTGATTTATGGAGTAGCCAAATTACAGATTTTACAAAGTTAACATTTCGAAGTGGTAAATGATTTTCATACCATATTTCAGGTCCATTCACAGGGGAAGCGGTCACATCATATATGACAATAACTAATCCAACGAATAACAAAATTTTCTTTAAAATAAAAACAACTGCTCCAAAGAGGTATTGTGTACGTCCAAATGCTGGATGTGTACTACCAAAAGCAACTTCTCAAATAGCTGGTTAGTTTGAAATAGTCTATCTGTGGCAGCTTAAGAGTTTGATGATACATTTATGAAAGCTAAAATGAAGTTTAGAAAGAAACTTATAAATAGGAAAGTTTAATGCATTATGAATTTTACCTTTCAGTTACTCTACAATCATTTGATTTTGATCCAACGGAAAAGAATAAACATAAATTTATGGTACAAGCTATAATAGCTCCAAATGATGATGATGAAGATTATTCTGATCTGGTATGTAATATTATAAGGTTTTTAAATTGTACTATATCAGTATTGAAGACTTGTACATGTGTTTTCCTTAGAGTAATTTTCTATAATCATAAACTATGATCATGATTTCTCATTGTGTTTTAAAGTGGAAAGATCTAAAGCCAGAACAAGTTATGGAATCAAAGTTAAAATGTGTATTTAAGGATCCTGAACCCAAGGCTGATGTGCCTGAAGTAAATGTAAGTATACTTGTTGAAAAAAATCAAGTCATCACCTAAGATGATAATTACTTTGCAGTTCATTATGTTACATCTATTAATTATATATTATGTAAGTGATACAACGATGAGTGTTTTTGTTTTTTTGTTAGCTTCTTAGATTAACAGAGGAAAAATTATTCAAAGCAGCAGAACAATTTAGTCAGCTTAGGGCAGAGGAGAGTATTCTTAGGCAGGAAAATCTGCAGTTGAGGGTAAGAAATTAAATACTTATTTTATTAGAAAATGTACATAAACTAAATATATATTTATTAGATAAATACGGAAATCCTTTCTATTTGTAGGAGGATTTATTGAAATTACAAAACACGGCAATGGGTAATGACGCTCCCTTAGCAGCAGCCAGAGATTTGACTTCACAAAGCAGTAACCAATTGCCTCGAAATGCTACCAATATCATTGTTGCCATGGCCATGGTCATAGTAGGATACTTGTTGGGAAAACTGATCTGAGCAGCCATTACAGTACCGCATTACCTGGCACATTCCCTCTTCCCCTGTGTTTCTTAGCCTGCCCCCCTGCTACCATTTACCACTTACTGATCGGAAAGATCGAAATCAGTCATCGTATTACACGGTTGTTCATAATAAATACTATAAACATGAACAGGTAGTGGTTTATAATAATAGAATTAAACTCGCTGCAGGAGTGTGCTTATATTTTGGTAAAGCGATTGAACTTCTAAATCCTTTTTTAAGAAATCAAATCGTATTTGTCGTAGTATAGACGCAGAAATTAACGATAAATTTTGTTGTCATTGAGTGTCGGAAGATATTAATGGTTTTAGTATTACATCACGAACTAAAACGAAATATTATACCATCCGAGTGTATCATTTCTTTCGTTTCTAGATTTCTTATAAAAGGATTTTCGCTTTACAAATTTGCTTGCGGCTGTGTCTTTGAAACCATGTTGCCACTAAGTGAATTATGTATGAAATTACGAAATTTATTAAATATAAATCTTTCAAACAAACATACTCAGTTACAGAGAAAATGAATTCAGTTATCTTGGGAAGTCTGTATCTTTGTATAAAAACAAAAATGAAAGAAAAAGAGAAACAAAATGAATTTTTTTTTTTCGACATTCTAAAACGTACTTAACAATCACACGATGTAAGATTGTACATAATGTATCCAGTTTAGGATAATGTATTAATGTCTAACGTATAGTCAAGAGGGGGAGGGGGGCTGGCTGATTATAATAGTAGTGGTTCGAGACTCAGAAATTGGATACGCTGGTTCTATCCATCAGCAATGGTATATCATATAAGGAATTTAATGCATTAAATTTTTTGACGCTTCAGTGTATTTTTATTTCTTTATGTTTGTCTTATAAAAATTCGAAATAAAGATATCTCGGATGTCACACGGCGGACGTTTTTAATATTTCGTACCTTTCTGCCATTGATCGTTTATCTATCCGGAAGTGCAGCATGGTGTACATGGATATGGCACCGCTTGAAATCTCATTTTAATGAAACCGTTCAAGTTTATCGATGTTTGAAAGAAATTTGTAGATCATCATGTTACAGTTAACGTCGAGCAGGTCACATTTGTTATTATTACACATACATAAACATTCGTATTTCTGTGCCTTAGGAATAGAGGGAGCGATATATTATTTTACTCGTGCTTCATTGATGTCTCATTGTATCAGTATTTCTATACGCCTTCCATTAATGAAAATTAGATATTTAACTGTAGTACATACTGGTGTGAGCTATTATTAAAGTCGTTAAAATGTACAAAAAAAACAAAAAAAAACAAATGTCAATATTTATCTTCTATAGATTGTAATATTTATTATTTCTACATTTATTTATATGTTGATTACGTGTATCAAATACCGACTTTTATATATCATTAGATATTTTCGTCATTCTGCGAGCTCCTGATTTGGAACACATTTGAAACATTATCGTATTTTATAATCGTACTTCAGATGACTATTTAATGGATTATCAGTAACTGGTAGAATGATGATACTCGTGAAAAATTATATTCGTGTATTCGAACTATTGAAATATTTTCTCGTTTTACATATCTTTACTGCAGTATTCTCTTGTTAAATGTTACTCGCTCGGGTCCACCGAATGACATATAACGAGAGTGCGTCGCATTTCTGTTCTTGGTATTAACACTTTATCCGCTCCAGTACCTCTTAAAATACGAGGAGGGGGCAAAGCATTCGACATATAGGGAGGTAACACAACAAGCGGAATATTGTAACTATACGTGTATCCGTGTGAAGATTCTCCGTGTCGTGTGTTTTTAAAATAAATATCATAAACTGCTGATTGTCGAATATATACGTATTACAGAAATGTAGGTAGACATAAAACACAACAGGCGCGTTAAGAAGAATTCATTGGTAATTAATTATACGACCTTTCGAGCAAACGGCTTCCTTTATACTTATTAATAATCTTCGAATATTCAACACCATTTCGTCCAAGAATTAGACTGCAATGAAACATTTTTCATCGAGTTATCCCATGGTCGTTCGAATTCTTGTACCATTCTACTACGATGTTATTATACATTTATTACTGTTCTGAGGCGAACTGTAACGATCTAGAATAAAATGTCGTTAACGCAGCTCACAAGAACGGAATAAAAAGGTCGCCATTATGTAAATAAGAAAAACCGAGTACGACTGAAATTTATGTAAATTGTAGTATGATTAGCAATTATATTAATACGCCACGGACACACAAACAGCAATATGTATCGAACCTAGTACAGAACAATTGTTCCCAGTTGTGTATGTAGCATTCAATTTTTCTTACTACGTACGTTCAAATAAAATTCCGAAGTATCACGTTCAGCACAATGATACCTGTACTTTAAATATCATCAATCAATTACTACGAAGGCTACACGATATCCCCGCGTAATATTAAACCGGCGTAAATATAGTACGAATCGATCGGCCACGCGGGATAATATTGCGAATGGATCTTCTACTTTTCGGGGAACGAGAAGTACATAGTTGCGCGGATACCAAGTAGTCTAGGTCAAGCTATAATCAAGCAACCTTCTCGGTGCACATGCACTAGCGTACTTTCTCCTTGTCTATCGAACCGAACGAAGAAGGAGGGGAAAGGGTGAGGCAGACGTAGTACATGTATACTTAAAAAGACTACGAAGAAGAAGAGTACATCAATCGAAAAATTCATTATCCATCCCTCGCACAGTATCTTCAATTTATTCGATTTCTTCTAACTCATTGACAATTCCAATTCGGAAATTTCGAGTACATATTCATTCCCGCGAAATCTGTACTTTCACTATCTACAGTAAACTAACTTTGTCTTCTGAACAACACCCTTACCGGGGCGGACAAGAATATACAATACGCTGATATTTATATTCATCATCCCCCTTCATGCGTCACGCAACTGCTAAAAATATTTTCCTTCAAGAAACTATCGGAGTGTTCCCACACACCGATACAGAACGGTGGCTGGCAGAGGAGGGGATGGGCAAAGTTCACCCAATTCTAAATAACACGGCATGCGCGCGCTAATACGAGAATAGATAAAATGCATTTAGAGAGAGTGGGGAGGGAGGATACAGCGAACGTAGGGGATGTAAATTCAGTTCTTTCATCGGCACGTGGCTCCCTTTAATCGGACTCGGTCGAACGACACTTGTACCGAGACCACCGAGACGTTCGACTGCGAACTAAAGTCGGTGTAGAAGTTCCTCAGGTAGGGAGGTGCAGATAAATCAGGATCGTGGGAACGAGGAGGAGGATGAGGAGGGAGGTGGATGGCAGAGAGTGGAGCGGCGGATACAGCGCAGAGCAGCCTGATCAGGGTGGCGGCGGCGGCGGCAGTAGCGACTGGCTATTGATTTCAAGGGCTTCCTTAACCCTCCGCTTTGCCGCTGAGTGCCCGACAGCTTCAGGTCACCCCGAAGGGCTCCCGGTGCCCGCGACTAAAACAATTCCCCGCGTTAACATCCCTTGCTAGATTGACTACACCCTATATTTCCATCAGCAGCCCCTACACATTACACACAAAGACATTTTCTTTTCCACGAACCAGTCTTCCCTTCTACGATTACTACGAAAAGATTGTAGGAATCCTGCGAACAATACTAAATTTGAAAATACTACGCACAGATCTGCAAAGATCGATTACTTTATATCTAATAAGAATCTTGGAAAGATTACCGTTCTCCTATACCGAAAGGTAATACGTACGTTCGAGATCAGTAGAATGAATCTAGCTTTAGTCCGACTATTTCGACCGAGTTCCGGGAAATCGAGTATGTAATGGTATCGAAGAAAAAGTACGTGTTAAACGGGCGGTTCTTCGAAATTTCGCGGTTAAGTAGCGGTTAGAGGGGGCTGGCGACGAGAAGGGCAAGGGTGTGGAGAGGAGCGAGGAACGGAGGGAGGGAAAACAGAGTAGGGATGTATATATGGTCGAGGGGGGTGCCTGGATAGGTGGGCGCCCATGGTGGTTACGGTACTGCCGCGAGTCGGGCCGAGCGCAGACGGATCGCGGGGTGAGCCGTCGCTCGGCATACGTCGAACTAGGTGCCCCGTGTTGGGGCGTCTCCTGCCATCGAGGATCGGGGTGTCGTGCAGTCGATCGGGGGACGACCACCGCCTTCTTCGAAATCCACCTTGCCTGTTGGGTCCCGGGAACCGAACCGAACCGACACGGACATCTACTGGATTGGAAACGGAACACCGGGGGTACCACCGTCGTCCCGCCTTTCTGCTCGACGACCCCCGGGTTGATTCCCCTGAACGGGTTGTGTCAGCGCGCATAGGCAGACACGGCGACAACGACGATGAGACAACGACGATGGTACTCGTGGTAGCAGCGCGACCACAGTGCGTCGTGGCAAGTGCGGGCGTCGGCATCGTCGTCGGTTGTGCACGCGATCGGACGAGCAAGGAGATGGTGTCCCCGGATCGTACGGAGATATGTGACTTGGTTGTTGCTAACGATAACGCTGTCAGTGCCGCGTCCGTGTACAACAAGGTCCCCGACCACGTCGTCGTCGTAGCCGTTGCCGTCGTCGCAACCGTCACCGCTGCCGTTATTACCATCGCTGCCGTCACCGTCAACGCTGTCGTGGCCGCTGCCGCCGTTGCCGTTGTCGTCACTCCCGCCACTGCCAATACTGCCGTTTTAGAGGATGCAAGCTCGATTACCGTACGGGCATCCAACACGATTCGTCAGACGGTCTAACCCTCCCGTACGCAGGGTGAGTGATGATTATTTGGAATTATATACACGACCCAGCCCCATCCTATGTTTCTTTCCTTGACGTTCTCTCTGTACCTTGTTCTCCTCCCTCCCTCTTCCCTATCCTCCAATGTTGATGGGAAGATGGAAGAACGCCTAGGACGAACAGTGAAACGAGAGTATGTGGGATAGAGTGAAACGGTATGCGGATAGAAAGGTGATTCCGAAAGAGGGTGTACGGAATGAATGCTGTATGTATAATGAAAAAGAGAGAAAGGTTGATGGGGCGAGGGAGTAAGAGACGGTTGGTGGGGATACGATCAAGGATAAAAGAGGACCTGGAAGGAAGTAGTGCGAATGCCGTGAAAGATTCTATTCATTCTTCAACCGTCGAGTATACGATTGGAATAGGATTTTCTCTGTTTTTATTCACCGCGAACGCCGTGCCCCGGCGACTCGACTCCACATAACCTCCGTCAATCGATAATACAAGACGACGGCACCCGCGGCGCTTGGCAAGATTGGCCTAGGAACGAACACGGATCCAACGCGCGTTCCTGGGTCGAGCTGCCTATCGAGGAATGTCGAATTACTCTAACATTTTGAGACATCCCTACCGTTTATGCGATACAGAAATTCACCATGGTTCCTGTTCGTGATATTCTTCTCCCTCTCCCTTTATCTCTCCGCGCCTCGGCCCAGTTTCTGGCGTTCCATGGGCGGCGAGAGAGCGCGCGTATGCACCCTTTAACAGCCCTCTCTGGTGGTATCATTCGTGATTACACGGCCAGAATATATCCTGGCCCGTTTTACGGTGGTTTGTGACACGGTTTCAACCTCGCCCATGTTAATTGGCGAGGATCGATCCTCCTGGAAACGATTACAAAGCCGCGAGGCCTCTCACGGACGTTCGATCGACGCTTCGTGATCCTGTTCCCGTTCGTAAATTGCAGGGACGAAGGAAAATCTTGGCTGAGAAATATCTTTGGTAACGCTGACAGAGAAACTTCGCTGGCAACACGGCCACGCGAGGAGAATCCCGAGTCAAGGGTGGGCGGCGAAGATCATACGACAGAATCGCAACCGTACAATTCCCTAACCCCTCCTGCGAATCGTTACCATTCGAACGACATTCGCGTGCGAAATGCAATAACGA